TATATTAACTTTTTCGCACCCGGCCACAAGGCCGCCATATTGGTTAAGATACTGATCGTTAAAAATATTTACTTAACGCGACAAAACAATAGTAACCAATTAAAATAAGAAAACGAAAAAAAATACAAAGCCTCACCCTGACTTTAAACTGGTAATTACACCACCCTGTATAATGCTGTAACAGAAAACAGATGGTAGTGGTGGATAAATGTAGATAGCTGTTTTGTTTGTTTTATTTTGATTGTTTGAAGTTGATAAGCAAAATATAAAGATTACACAGAATTTTCGCAATTACGCTTAATATTATACTATGAATGGTTTTCAGCTAATAATAACTTTTAGCATCCAGAAAAGTTTTATGTTTGACTAATAAAATAAATACAGCGTTATTCTATCAATGCTAAACATTTCGCTTAAATTAATAATGTAAAATTATTTTTGGTATTTTTCAGTTTCATATATTAAGTATTTTTTCATTCATCTCTTATACCTTATAAGGGTGTTCACTTCATTTTTCAAATGAAAACATACGCATCAACTAGTCGATAACAATTTTTGATCCATTTTTTTCGGAGTTGTTACCATTTTAAAGTTTATTCTGGAGATGAGGCACGGATATGATAATATATATTATTAAACATTTCTCGGGCGTACTTTTTTTTCCAGCTAAAACATAATAATAAGAATATTTTCCAAAATAATGGGTCAAAAGTTGTTATCGACTTTTTGTCGTGATGTGGTGGTGCAGCGGATCAATCAGTCGCCGCCCGAGTGCTGATGTTCAGCAGTACTGTTTGCTGTTGATTCCCGAAGAGTGACCTACACCTTGCCATTATATTGGTTCCTTTAGCGACATAAGGTAGTTTTAGGTCGACTGCCGGTGTAAAAACCTGTCAAATCGTGAGGTAGAGCCGACCGTAAATAGTTAGGATAGAGTTTAAAGAAATGATGATGATTATGATAATTATGCTTAACTTAATTCTAATTTAATTATCTTCTTTAATTTCGCTACTTCAATTAAGCAATTAAAAATATTATTCATTAAAATAAGAAAAATATAAAACGTAATAAAGAAACTTATAGAAAATATAGAAAATTTTTACAAAAACTTTCATACACCATTATTTTAATTTAAAGTGTTTTATCCCTACCAATGTTCAGAATAATTAAAATGTTAAAGATTCATGAAATTCCATGTTTGACCTCGAAATAAAAATTATTCAAAAGTTACGGCACTGTGTCGGAATCAGGTTTACGGCACATTTAAAGATTGAAGCAAATTTCTTTGCTGTAAATTATATTAAATTAATTTTTAATAATTTTCATTCAGTTTTTATTTAATTATTAAGTTAGTAACTTTATACCTTAAAAATCCTATACACTTCAGTAGAATGAAATCGATTGCATTATTATTTTATGAAATATATAATCTTTTGAAAACTAATTAATAATTAAAATAGTCAGAATGTTTAAATTATTTTAATATATATGTATTATTTTATAAGCATCAATAAAAGTATGGCTGTTGAACTATACACTATAAATTTTAATTCATAATTTATATTTCAAAGGTCTGAGGCCAATTCTAGAAATTGTATATTAAATAGTCACCAACGATATATTTGTTGAGTATATTAAAATTTTAATAAAAGTGATAAACAATTACTATTCTTGAACGAATTCAAAAATTTTTAAATCATTTATCAAATTCTATAAAAAATACTACATGAACCATTATTTTTATACTATAATAACTATAAAAAGTTATATAATCATTGATAAAACTTAAAACTGTTAACAAATCAATTTGGTTTCGAAGTTAAAATGCATAATGTGAACATTTTGATTAAATACTTTAATACTCGCACAACATTTTTTTATTTAATTTGTTTTACTATATATAAAAACATATTTTATATTTACTCAGATATTTTAAATATAATGGTAGATTTGACGGAAGAAACTTGTCATGTGACACGTGTTTTCAGGATTTTCGGACTTCAATCGATAAAAAGTATTGAGAGTCTTTTTCTTTTTTCTCGTCTCAATCACAATTACTCTTGAGGTCGGCCACCCTTAACCTAAACTTCCACTTGACAAAATCTTCTACATAATTTACGTAACACATTAGTCGTCCTTATATTGCATTCAATGACATATACTCCTTCTTAAATATTTGTTTCTTATCCTATCTTCTACCCATTCTCATCTCTGCCAAACTGATTCTCTACTTTACTCTATTCTCTTGTCGAGCATCCAAAACTCTGAACCATACATCATAGCTAGTCTCACTACAGTCTTATAGAACTTACCCTTTAGTCTCATTGAAAACGCACTTAATTCTGTGTCTATATCTTTATCAATTTTACCGTTCTTTTGCACAGCTGATCCTTAATACTTAAAACTTTCTTCTTTTTCTATCACATTCTTGATTATTGTCACTGATTTCCTTATTTCATCTATCTTGTGTTCTCCTTTGTCAAACTCGTATTCTATATACTTTGTCTAACTCCTACTAATCTTGATACATTTCTTTCGTGAGCTGATATCCACATCTCTAACCATTGATTCATTTCCTCCCTATTTGCACCCATTAATACTATATTATTAGTGAATAACATGCATTAAATTGGTACCTCTCATTGAATTTTTGTAGTTATTTCATACATCACTCTAAAAAAACAAGTAAGGGCTTAAAGCAGAATTTTGATGCACTCTTACTATTGCCATAAAATCTTTTGTTACTTTGCCTCCGCTATTTTTTTATTGTTATTATTGATTTTAGTATTCATTTTCTTAAATATATATTCATCGCATTGAAAATAATCAATAAATTTATCACCGTTTTTAAAATGCTTTTCCATAGATGAAAAAAAAACCATTTTTAATGGTTGTTTGAAATTGTCACTCAAATGGTGTATAGAAAACTAAAATTTTTGCTATTAATAGACCTTCCGGGCTTCTTATTATTCTATTTGTTATTTATCGTCCATTAGTATTGAAAATAAATTGAACATATCGAATTTGTGCTATTCAATATGTTGGTTTAGTCAAATTGCGGTACACATTATTCAAGTACTACTGTTCCTACATTATTTCTTGTTTTCTATTCTTTTTTAACAGCAAACATTATTGTTATATTTATACGGCCATATTTTAAATTTGTGTTTTGCATTTTATTTAAGAATATATTTTGTAATTTACATTAATTAAATTATAGTTGAATAATAAGCTACATAGGCCATCAATCCTTAAAAAAAACTAACAATTCTGATACTTCGTGGCAGATAATTAAAAAAAATAAATACTGTAGACCACTGAATTTAATATAATAAATTCTAATTTTAAAATATATGTGTACTTACAGTTGATTAAAATAAAAAATGTACGTCAATAAAGTATAGATAAAAGCTGTACATCTCGAAAATATTTTTTGAATTATTTAATTCTAGTTTATACTAACAATATCCTTAAAGATATTTGTGGTATTCACTGGTTACATCGAGCGGCGCCAAGACATTGTAGATATTCATGAAAAAAATGTATTTGTTTTTTGAGATAGAGTTAATTATACGCATTCTAATAGTTCCAACGGATAAATTTTTGTATAAAATGTTATTTCAATAAGAGCAGCAATGAGAAATTCTAACTGCGCTCATACAATTCTATAAATATATACAAACTATTTTGCATATCGTCCAACGCTTAAGGAATTCAGGTAATTGTTTAGAGATCTTTAATGGACAATAGCAATATTATTGCCGTAGAGTTATTTTGTATGCAAGATCAAGATCAAGAATTTAATGGTATGCAGTTTAAGATCAAACGTGTGTGTTTATGAACCATCCATTGGTTTTCACTATTTTTCTCTTTCTACTTGTACCACAGCTACATGGATTGGCCACATTAAAAAGTAGTGCGTAGGTTTACGACTTTTTTTTTTGCAATATACTTGTTATATCGTGTGTTATTATTTAATTTACACACACAGTAAATGAAGAACACGCGAATACAGGCGATTGCCGTCGGGTAAAATAAATGAATTGGAAAAGCTTAATCGAACAGACGGTCATCTATAATTACACAGATTGTGTGTGAAGAAGATATTTTATTATTATAATTACATTGTCTTTACATTTTTTCAAACTTCTTTCAATAACAATTTGTATAGATACGTTAATAACGTGTACGGTGGTTTGAAAAAGTTTCTTCCAGAAACTCGCAGTGGTTAAGTTAATTAAATTGAGTGCACGAGTTCAATTGTAAGTGAATTTTATTCGTCGGAAACTTTATGCGGACACTTTTGCAAAAGGTATCTACACGAATTGCTTTTCAAAACTTTTGGGAAGTAATTTTGGGTGTGTAAAGCCTATTCCGTATAGAATGCGATTCATTGGCAAAAATAGTCCACTCCGGCCGTGTTTCTATATAATTAATTACTTAACGTGCGTTTCTAACAACGTCAATAAATTATTATGTGTAGAAATTAATCAAGTCCATTTCATTCTCAATTAAGTTTACATTAAATATTTGACAAAGAGTTAAATATTTTAAATACATTTGTACACATAAAAAGTAAAAAGAAAAAATTCATTCTTCAATTAAAAAAAAACAGTACTAAATATTATTAAGTCATAGTTCAAGATATGTGACTTATTAACATTTTGTTCGATAGTGAATTATACAAAATACTATTTTCCAAATTTATAAACTACCAAATTTTTTCTTAAAATTAATTGTATGCAAATTTATGTTAGTGCTGGAGCTATAACCACTTATTTCAGATGTATTTTTTTTATTCAACGTCACTTAAAACCATATAATTATGACATTAATATATAATTATTAAAAAAAAACTCTGTTATATTTCTAATAAAACACATCGTCTTTAATAATATTTTATTTGAATTGCCAAATGAAATCTAATGAGAGAAATTGGTATAGGATAAATGATTATATATATATTTTTTTGTTTTGTGTATTTTGTAGAATTTCTCAAAAATTCAAAGAAAATCAATCAATATAAAATCAGCGTTACTTTATTAAATTGAATGTAATTCTTATTTGATGTGTTCACTAGAATATCGTGTTGAGAAAATGCAATACATTTCAGTTTGTTGTCGCTGTGGTAGCTTAACTGACTAACAAAACACCATTATGTCAAGAGAATTTCAAAACAGTATTATCTCTTCGTCACTAGAAATATCGACAGAGAATAGAAAACAAAAGCTGTGTTAGGAGTATTTTATCAAAGTACCGTAAGTTTAAACTGTAAGACTGAACCAATATATTTTTGTCATAAAATAAGTAAATAGTACTAAATATTTGTTTATGTTAAAATAATTGCATATATTTATTACTAATTTTAATAGTTACGTTTAAATATTTTGAGTATAAAAGAGTTTAAATATTAAAACCACGGCAGTGGTTAATAGTTATAGTGAATAAAATATAAAAAGCGTTGGCGCAAACAGCTTTCGAAACAACATTACAATATATCAATTCTCTATTTCTTATTAAATTATTACAATGATTCCGTGACACATGTATACTCATTTTGGCATTTAATTAATAAACTACTGCAATCTTAAACAGACAAAAATAAATAAATACAAGTTTCATATCTTAATCTATTCTTCGCTTCTTAATAAATAAATTAGTATTATGCATCCGATTTTGGCGATCAGAATTCTTGACGTGACATCATCATGAATTAGTTTTTATGATCACGATTCTTATCGTTTTGAAATTAACTCATCTCCTGTGTTTAATAATAATCCTACGTGCGTGTCATTTTCTTTCATCTCATCTTATTTTATGCAGCAATTGCGTACCAAAATGTCAAGATTTACCGACGAAATTTGTTAGATATAACGATAATTATGTTTTATAATCATAATACTATTACCATGCTAATAAGGCTAACTTGATCAATTATTTTAGACTTGTATCAAAATGGTTATGAAATTTTGTCTGACTTATTAATGTTATATATAACAAAAACTCAGCATACTAGTTTATATTTTTAATTACCGGAATATTATTTTCCATTTTCTTAAAGAAATATAAATTGAATATTTATTTAAGCAATTGATAATTTAAACTACTGTAATAAACTGTCTATGTTGTTAGGAAATATATTTGTTTTAATTCCACTGTTCATTGATCTTACGTTACCAGCTGAAACTTACTTTACCCCCATAACTCAGATAAGGGAAAATGTTGATGGAGTTGAATTTTTGGACATCTAAAAAATGAACGATGAAAATATTACTTTATAAACCTGAACATTGCCTCTGGTGTCGTTTATTTCTAAGTGGGTTCATTTTTTCTACGCTTCACAATACAATACAGTGCAACAAGGTTGGTCCGAAGGAAAAGAACAACAAAAAAAGTACATTTTTTATTTTTGTTCGCATAATAAAAATACGGTCTCTTTCCGGCCTAGAGGCGTTTTACATATATAAACGTATTTTTCTCATTTACCAATAACCGATCTTTGTCTGTTTAGCACCTGACATACACTGACAAAACGTGGTCGAATAACTTTAGTTTATCACAGCGTGGGTACTGGTTTTATAAATATAAATTTTAAACATACATTCAATATACACACCAATTATTTTAGATCATACAGTTAAGGCATTTACATGACTAACTATAAACGGCGGTATATAACAAAGATGATATTATGTTATTTCAACTTCAAACAATCAATTAACAAAATTATTTTCAGTTCATATATAAATAAAGGATTTTAATGATGGCTGAAAGAATTCTTAATCAACTTTTAATAAGTTTGACCTATAGTGAGTTTTAAAAGCACAAGAAATATACGATTATTTAAATTATACTTACATTATTAGTGTATTTATTTATTTTACTTTAAGTTTATATCATTATGTTATTTTAGTATAAACTCTATTTTGTTTACGCCTTAACACTGCATGATCAGAATTTTACTGTAACGTCATGTGTAAGTTTCTCAGATTATGTTAAAACAAAGCTCCCTTTTAGCACAATATATTTATATTTCATTTATACCTAATTATATTAAATATTGAGTTTGTAATACTTTAGAATTTGTTATACTAGTTTAATATTTTATAAAATCAAAGTTGTTTGAGAAATTCGTAACTCATATTTAGACATAATCAAATGAGAAATTTTTAATCTGATAGTAATTTTCCATTTTAAGCTTACAAAGTTCTTCCTATTTCATGAGCTATCCATAACGATGTCTTGGCGTTGTATTGATTTTATCACATTTTTCAGGATCCTGACGGGGAGAAAAATACATTTCGTATAATATATTGTTATCACACGCTGCCAGTCTGATTTTGTAATTATGATATTATACGCCATTCTGCAACATATTACGACTTACATATTTGAGAGAGCATGAAATTTAAGTGTGCACATTATTCCATAGAATGGTTGAACCTAATATGCTTTTAATTACTAACTATAGTAATATAAAATATGTTGCCGTTTCAAGAAACTTAGGAAATATTTTGATAGTTTATAAATCACTGAAATAAAACACAAAAAAATTCTTCTACAGCTTTACCTTGAACATGTGCACATATGTAATCACGAGAGAAACGTAGCATAATCTTTCGCAACAGGTGTGGTGCACTTCGTTAAATACGAGACAGCGGCAACAACGCTAGTCAAGGGAGAGGACTCGATGAAATCCGATACGGTCGAGCAATATAAAAAAAGAAATCATAAGTCACCACTATCGCTTCTGACGGTCAACGCTTAAGTATATTATTTTTCAAAAGAATAGATACAAGAAAAAACAAACTCACATACATGCAATGGCATAACGATTTATCTTTTGAGCAACCCGCTCGAGGCCACTGCTAGTCATTCGTCCCATATGTTTGCTAACGTTTCAATGTGTTACATTGTTTCAGGGGCTAAGATGTATATTTTTTAGGTAGGTAAACGTTCAATATTAATACATGTTCGAGGGAAACTATTGAACATCGGTATTGATCCGAGAACTACATTTTTAGTTATTTATTATAAGCCCCGAACACAATGTAATATGATGGACAACACCTGAAGCAGTTAAACACAGTTTATAATAATATTATTAAGCGTAATAATACAATAGTGGTCGGCATTGTAACAGCATCTATTATAATGTAATATAAATAAATAAATAAACAAGAGTGAAACAGAAAAATGATTAACTAAACGAATAACCATATTGTAATAAGTTTAAAACCGGAATAATAGGTAATTAACAAATGTAAATTTTGATATGTCTCGAAAAAACAACAACAAAAAACTACTTCTTCAAACATTATTGCTTAAGGCTTTAATGTCTGGCGTCTGGAACGTCCGGACCGGTATTAACATAACATAATGTAGTTTTTTTTTAATCAAAATATAGTGCATAATATATTTTTGTCAATGAAGTCATTAATAATTAAAATAAAGCGAGAAAAACAAGTCATAAGGTGAAATTAGCTACATATCTGATAAAACTGTATATATAAACTTTAATTAAGGACAAGGCAAACCCAAAATATTGTTTTGAATTACATTCTCACCAGAATTTATTATTAATAGATATTAACATTTAAGAACATAATTATCTGAATTGGTTTTTGAAAATGATGATAGTTAAATTTTCAACAAGGTTGAAATTATGGATTGGATTATAAATCGTTTATATTAAATAATTATGTGCTATCCTAAAAGTTTAAGGATAATTCGATCACATATGTAAACGTAATTCTCAAATTAAATTAAACGATGTTAAAATAAACTGTGAGTTCAAAGTGATTTAAATTAAACAGTTGTTAATTCTAAAATGTTGGAGTCGACTTTATCAGTGTCACTTGAGCTTAATTAAATGGCAATTTGTCATATGTAATGATTCAACCAAAATTTTTAACATGTATACTAACAATTTTAATATGTATACTTTTTGAGTAATAGTTTTTAATTTGTATATACTGCACTTTTTTACGCGTACCCCTTGATAATATTTTTTTTTTATTATTGCTATTATATTGTATGCGAATATTTTTAATAATTTTAATACAAGAAGAATCAAGTATATTTTTTATAGATTTTTCAAAAATCATTTGTTAATAAGAAAGCAACAATGTTATTAACATATATCAGATTATTACTCAGTTCTAATTCTTTTATATTACTTGAATTTTAAGAAGTTTTAATAAAATGCTCATGATTTTCACATTGTTACTTATATACAATATATATTAAAAATATATCGTATATCAAGAATTCCGTCTACACAAGTAGACAGTTGAACATTTTTGTTATTTTTAATCTTTGTTTTGTTTATTTATTTTTTTCTTATATGACAAATATCGTTATATCGCTTAAATCGATATTCAACGCTGTTGCGTTGACGTTTAAGAACTCTGTTTCATTTGATGCTGTTTCTTGATATCGAATATGTAAATTCTTAGATTTTTAGCAGTTAACTAGTTTTTTTTGTCTACAGCTAATGTGTAATATGGGATAAGACTTTTCAGTTCGTTTTGTGGTGGCGTCACTGGAGAGGTGTTGTCATGGATCGGAGGAGTGATAAGGAATAATAATGGGTTATTGGTTATGCTTAAATGAACATCACATTTTTCTTCTCTCTAATTTTAATTTAAAGAAACTATGTAAATTTCATGATACATAAATGGATACATTATTGAACTATATTAGATAACTGTGAAAAAATGTCCACGGATATCAAATATATTTGCGCCCGAACCAAATGAACATAACATAGCATCACTGGAACAAATGGAATTAAAGTCAGAACTTAAACGTCAACTACTAGTACTCAGCTTATTCACATACTAAACAGCACATTACAATTAATATGTTTATTTTTATATGAATGTTTGTATAAATGTTTATTATTGTCAAAATCAGAAAACTATAATTTGTGTCTTCTGTTAGAAAATTGTAAACAAACCGATTTATATATATGTAATTAAAATAAATACCATTTCAATATATTAACAGATATTTTACTTTAATTTTTGCCAAAATATTTATTTTAAATTAAAAAAATGTTTGACAATTCTAGTCTAGTATAATTATTTTTTGTCAATACTTTAACACGGCGTATTAACTAGGCAATCTCAAGACGCTTCATAAAAGTGTTTCGTATTAAAAGGAAATAACTAGGTACGTATTTACTTAATAATTAATGTTTACTAATAACATGTTATATGTAATTTGTAAATGTGTATTTATAATTTTACAGTTATAATAAAATAATTTTTAACGGATTCTTTTTCATCCAAAAATAAAACAACTTAAATAATATTATATTTCAATTTATAATATATATACGAACGGGAATAGATCTAATTTGATCTAAAAATGACAATTTTTATAACTTTTGATGTAATTAATATTTCATTATAATTTTTTTTTTTTCATAATTAAAGCATTCTTACACTACCTTAAAATAATATTTATAATTATTTGTTTTTAATAATAAAAAAATATAATACTTTTTTTATTATTGAAAACATATGATAGAAAATTTGATTTTACAGTAGTGGAAGAAATAAGTTTATCATTTTAAAAATATGTACAATGAAATTTTAATTAAGAAGAGTTATTCTATTAAGAGTTAGATCTATTCTGCCCTGTACAGGATGAATTACTTATCATGAACCACTTTATCAAAAAACATTAATAACTTTTTTTATTTGTTTCTTTTAGTTCAATGTTTCTTTCATTTTAAAATCATAAATTGTTTTTTATTAAGTTTATTATTAATTATTTTTATTCCTTAAACATTATAAAGATGTCAATTTTATTTTTCAAATGGCAACACACATAGTGCACCAGTCTAATTTCTAGATAACGATCCAATTTAGAAATGACTGCTCGATAACAACTCTTGAATCAGTATTTTTATAGTGTTTGTCATGTAAATTAATCAGAATATCTATAAATAAATAAGCAAATCAATTATGTGTGTTGCCATTTTAAAAATTGGAGTTTACTCCTTTATAATGAAGAAGGGATGATCTTAACAAATACTTTATAATTGATAAAATTTGATAAACATTGAGTTAAAAATGCAATACAAAAATTATCATATTATTGATATTTTCAAATCAATTAAGTATTTCATTATAAGTGAATAATCCTGCATATAAATAAGTTTGAGAATATTGAATGTAACATTATGTATATTTATGTGTCTTCATCATAGAATATTAAGTTTGTAACAAAGTTAATGTGAATAAATAATAGAGTACTTAAATTTAAAAATGTTGAGTTTTTTAAAAGTAAAATTACAATATTTTTATAAAACGGTATTTAAATAAGAATTTTCCTTTTTACCGATTAGCCAATTTATTTGAAGATTTTTTGGTATAAATATACACTAATAATTTACATGTGGTTTAATAATAATTTTTATGTTTGGTCGAAATCTAAAATCAAAAATAATATCCGTTAATCATGATTATATTAAAGGGATACGTAATTATTTAGTGGTTAACTGAAAAATGACCATAGAATAAGGTTTGACATGCAGTAATAGATATTTTACCAAAATAAAAATTCTAAAATGGCCTAAGGGTGGAAATTGAAAAAATAAGCTCTTAGAGAAATTATATCATGTCAACTCAATCTTTTTCACTCGATCAGCGGATAGAATAAAATGAAGTTTTTTACTATTTTATCCTTGTATAAAATTATCTATAAAAAAAACGGTAGCACAGTGGGGTCGCGGCATAGTAGAGACATTGCATAGTAGGGTCCAGTATAGATTTAATCTGACAGTGATTAAAATCACTATCATAAGAAACGCTTCGATGCAAATCTGTAGATAGTGTTTAATTTTAAAAAATTGATGGATAATTGCAAAAGCAACATCAACTTCTATTAAAATAAAATACAAAACCCATAATTATCATACAAAAATAGTATATTTTTCAATATGGTAGCCATTTGC